AACCTCTAAAACCCCTAAAAGGCCACTTCAATGGCTTCTTATGGGCTTCCAGCGCAGGCAAAAGCCCACATCCATCACTTTTTATGGGCGTCCAAGCTTGCCAAACCCGTAAAAGGCCACTTCAATGGCTTCTTATGGGCTTCCAGCGCAGGCAAAAGCCCACATCCATGGCTTTTTATGGGCGTCCAAGCTTGCCGTTTGCCAGGCCTAAAACGCTCCAAACCTTCCAAACCCCTAAAACCCCTAAAAGGCCACTTCAATGGCTTTTCTTATGGGCTTCCAGCGCAGGCAAAAGCCCACATCCATGGCTTTTTATGGGCGTCCAAGCTTGCCAAACCCCTAAAACCGCTAAAAGGCCACTTCAATGGCTTCTTATGGGCTTCCAGCGCAGGCAACAGCCCACATCCATGGCTTTTTATGGGCGTCCAAGCTTGTCGTTTGCCAGGCCTAAAACCCTCCAAACCCTCCAAACCCCTAAAACCCCTAAAAGGCCACTTCAATGGCTTCTTATGGGCTTCCAGCGCCCACATCCATGGCTTTTTATGGGCGTCCAAGATTGCCGTTTGCCAGGCCTAAAACGCTCCAAACCCTCCAAACCCCTAAAACCCCTAAAAGGCCACTTCAATGGCTTCTTATGGGCTTCCAGCGCAGGAAAAAGCCACATCCATTGCTTTTTATGGGCGTCCAAGCTTGCCGTTTGCCAAAGCCTAAAACCCTCCAAACCCCTAAAACCCTCCAACCCTAAAACCTAAAAAGGCCACTTCAATGGCTTTTATGGGCTTCCAGCGCAGGCAAAAGCCCACATCCATGGCTTTTTATGGGCGTCCAAGCTTGCCGTTTGCCAGGCCTAAAACCCTCCCAACCCCTAAAACCCCTAAAAGGCCACTTCAATGGCTTCTTATGGGCTTCCAGCGCAGGCAAAAGCCCACATCCATGGCTTTTTATGGGCGTCCAAGCTTGCCAAACCCCTAAAACCCCTAAAAGGCCACTTCAATGGCTTCTTATGGGCTTCCAGCGCAGGCAAAAGCCCACATCCATGGCTTTTTATGGGCGTCCAAGCTTGCCGTTTGCCAGGCCTAAAACCCTCCAAACCCTCCAAACCCCTAAAACCCCTAAAAGGCCACTTCAATGTGGCTTCTTATGGGCTTCCAGCGCCCACATCCATGGCTTTTTATGGGCGTCCAAGCTTGCCGTTTGCCAGGCCTAAAACCCTCCAAACCCTCCAAACCCTCCAAACCCCTAAAACTCCTAAAAGGCCACTTCAATGGCTTCTTATGGGCTTCCAGCGCAGGCAAAAGCCCACATCCATGGCTTTTTATGGGCGTCCAAGCTTGCCGTTTGCCAGGCCTAAAACCCTCCAAACCCCTAAAACCCTTAAAAGGCCACTTCAATGGCTTCTTATGGGCTTCCAGCGCAGGCAAAAGCCCACATCCATGGCTTTTTATGGGCGTCCAAGCTTGCCGTTTGCCAGGCCTAAAACCCTCCAAACCCCTAAAACCCCTAAAAGGCCACTTCAATGGCTTCTTATGGGCTTCCATCGCAAGCAAAAGCCCACACCCATGGCTTTTTATGGGCGTCCAAGCTTGCCAAACTGTTGGTTTGCCAGAGGGTAATCTTCACTGTAGCCTGAAAAACGAGGGTGGCATACGCTGTGACTTGGAGTATTCGGATTGCCCTTGACATCTCAGCCTCGGATATTCCCTGGTCACCAGTGTCAGCAGCTAAGTTGGTGTACCATGGTGTACTTGGGACATCGCCGACGATCAATGGTACAACTCATCTTCCCATTACTTCACGTGGATATCTGTGAACATGATTTATACCCATCAACCAGCCATTGTATGGGAATTATAAGGATAAACCATGGAAGTTTGGGGCAGATCACCAAACAAACCGGTGCATTTCGTGGCCAGAAATCGGAGAAATCCATCAGAAACGGAGCGATTTTGGGAACTCCACGAACTCGCAGGTGACATGGGGAGATCACTGGGGGATTTCCGTGCTCTGCTACCTGATCTTGATCAAGTTCTCAAAACTATCGTGGACATTCACCATATATGCGTGTAAGAGTTGCTAATGATGATACATTTTTTGGAAAAATCTTATTAACTTATTGTGTTTCCTTCCATCTGTTTCATAAAAATGTCGAGTCTCCATTGCGACACCGTCCCAGAAAAGAATGGTGATTTCAACATCAACCCAAACAAATACTCCGACAAAATATATCTTTTGGCACCTAAACTTATTTGGTTCCTCTGCATGGGTTTCTGCTCTCTCTCTCTCTACCAGACCACCCCCAATAGAGGGGTCGGCGGCACCAGGGCGCTAGCCCATTCTATAAACACGCTAACCCTACATGAACCCTAAACCAACCCTATCTGAACACGCAAATCCAAAAAACAATTCTCAACAAACCCTAAACCAACCCTAAATATATCCTAAATCAATCCCAAAGGGCACCTAGCCATCAACTCGAAAGAAATACCAACCGAAATAAACCGCAGGGCAACCCTAAATAAACACAAATCTACACCAAAAACGAATGTAAATAGTTTACCAATGTTTACCAACCCTCAATAGACTTTAAACTAACCCTAAATAGGAGAGAACCCCCACTGCAACCAACCCTAAACCAAGCCTACAAAACCCCAAACCAACCCGAAAGAAACTCTAAACCCAGTCGAAATAAGTTAATCAAGCCAAGCCTACAACAAACCCTAAACCCACCCGAGAGAATCGCTAACCCAATCCTATACAATAAGCCAAAGTAACCATAACTTCAAAACAAGCCCGAAACGTACCCACAGCAATCTAATGAAACTTGAAACAAACCTGAAACCAACCCGAAAACAAACCTAAACCATTCCAGACTAATTAAACCATAAACTCGCCAAAGGTAAAGATTATAAACATACCTTCAATAAACCCGAAGAAGCCAATAGATACATCCCCAGGAAACCCTAAACCAACCCTTCACCAAACCCAAAGTAAAGCCTGGACCCACCCGAGAATAATCCCTAAACCAACCCTAAATGCATCGAAAACTGACCAAAAGCTACCGCAAAACAAACTCTTAAGAAACCACAAGCTGACCCTGAGCAAACCACTGGGAATAAAGCCTACGCCAACCCTAGAAAGCCCAAAGCCAACCATAAAGAAGCCACAAACGAAGCGTAAAATTCAAAAGCAACCCCAAAGAAAACATAACAAACCGTTGTGGTTGCCGGTTGGCGGGTTGCCGGTTGCCCGTTGGCGGGTTGCCGGTTGCCGGTTGTCAAAAAAATGTAAAATTAGGGGTATAGGACCCCCATCATTCATCTTAAGATCGAGTCCAACATTTCCCATGATTTTTTTCGAGCTTCGTAGTCGTTCCGGCCTCTGCGCAAGGTGGCCAGCCATTCCTTTCGGTTCTGCAGAAAGGAAACGCTAAGTCCTTCCATCCGTGTGGATTCCTCGAAGGCCTGGAGTTCCTGCCAAATCTGTTTCGGAATCGAACTGGAACATAGAGGAATTGTTCAATACCCTCTGGTAAACGTTTACATAGCTATGGAAAATGGCTCAAAATGGTGATTTTCTATAGCTATGTAAACGTTTACCAGAGGGTAACACAGGGGAAATCAAGCGAAACTGTCATTCTATGTTATTCGAAGTTGTTTTTCCAAGTCCTTCGCCACTGACTGCGGACTCAGCGTATCGCAGATTTGCGGTGTGTGGTGATTTTCCAGCTGCATACCCTTCTTGGTGAGCTTGTCTAGGATTTGGCGCAAGACCTCTCGGGCGAGACGGACAGGTTTCTTTCCTGTGAAGAAAATCACAGTAGCTCCACAACTATGACCCCTCCACCCCTCACTCCACCGTCAGAAAAGGTGAACCAATCGACCACCAATCGATGCCTTGGCAACGCCAGCCTTTTCCATCGCTTCACGTCGTCTTCTTTGTGCCAGACACTCGCTGAGGAGCATCGCAATGACTGCGCATAGTGTCACCACTGCAGCGCCTTCTTCGACGACCCCACGGGACCCCACAGATCCCATCGGCCAAACAAGTCCGACACCATCAATGGGAATTTCAGGAAGCGATTGATTGGAGGTACCTACCATATATAAGGCCTATATACTGTAAGGGCTAAATTTCAGGGGATATCCCTCCAAAATATGGCCTAAAAAAATGGTACCGACGTACCTCCATAAGTTGGATCCTGGAGATCTCCCATTGATACCATAGCAAATTGACATAAATACCCAACTGCTTGGTACCAAAATGATCCTCAAAATGTTGGTCCGTGATCAAAAAAAAGCCAGAAACGAACAAAAATAAATGGAGAAATTCAGAAAGGATTGGTTTTTCTGGGAAAAACTACAGGAAACCCTGGTTTTTCACTGTATGTTTTTTCCCCGTCAACCAATCCTCAGGCCTCCTACTGCGGACATTGCCGGCATGGCTCGAACCAAGGCCGACCAAAGGACCACTGTACCTGGGTCGCCCAAAGGAATACTGCAACTACCATCTGGTTATTTAACATAGCCATGGAAAATCCCAACCATAAATGGAGGTTTATAGCTGGGAAAATCATCTATTTCTATGGGCTATTTTCCATGGCTATGTTAAATAACCAGAGGGTAATCCCAAAATATCCTGCTCAGCTTGTTCATCATAAACTTTATGAACCTGGAATGCTCCAAAGGCATCATTGCATCACGTGAAGAATGGTAAGAATATTCAGAAGAATCCAATAAGAATCATCTTCCCCGCTCACCACTTTCACCACTTTCACCACTTGGCTCCATCCATGTTGCTCCGACAACAATCGCAATGCCTCTCTTGCAACCAATCCCTCTAATGAGTATGATATGACAATCATAATATGTCATAATGATATGTGCAATATGTGCAAAAAGGAATGCACAGCACGAGGATACGGAAGCACCAAGTAAAATTCGAGCATAATAGAGGCAGGCATATTTCTTATATTAATATTTCTGACAAATCTCTCATGTATCAAAGGAATATCTTCTGAGTTCCCTTCCAAAGAATCTAGGCTTCCAGTCATCACTTTACGGCGCTTTCGTTCTCGCTCAGTGGCTTGTCCCCAATTGAAGTGGCAGCACCCAAAGTGGCCCGCCAATACCACCTTGCCAAATCGTGGCTCCCAATCGGGGCTGATGTCAGAAGGCCGCCCGAATAGCTTCAAGTCACGTCAAAGATATGACAAATGACAATATGTGATATCTAAATTTTCTGGAAATATATCTATCATTATCTATATACAAATTATTCAATGACAATGAAATTCAAACCGAGACAAGGCCGACAAGGCACCGAGACATTGAAAGACCATCACCCATGCAGGCATCAAGACTGCAGCAGCGCATTGTGGCCACATACTGGTCATATTCTGGGCTGCGGTAAAGACCATCTGCACGAAAATGAGACCCGCTAAGAAGGCAGGAGGTTGAACGAGGTCCAGCCCAATCCTTGGAACAGATCAACTTATGCAACTTGTGGTGCCCCCAAACAAGATAGAAAAGTAAATCATAGCTATTTAGTGGGACTTTACCAACTTCATCCAACTTCTATCTTTTGGGGAGTTAACTGAATTCGCAGCCTTTTTTGTGTCGTCACCACTGTGATTGCTTGCTCGCGCTGAAAAAAAAACGAAATCCTGGGTGAATTTAACCCCCAAAAAGATAGTTCAGCCGGTCAACTCCCACGAAATACTTATGACGTGTTTTTCTCTTTTCGGGGGGTGCTATGAAAGATGCTTTTTTTGTACACCCCCAGAAACTTCTTTTTCGTCCTCTTTCGAAATCCCCTTATGACAGACAGGTTGGTGGGGTTCATGTTGCCTTGAGCTGCCTCAATCCGTCGCTGATGGCGCCCAATTTTAGTGGCCATAAAGCTCCCCGGGGGGAGCGTCGCCGGGCCATGTAATTTTCAAGGGAATGGGATTATGCCACTTCAACTCATCGTGCCTGCAAAAATTCAGCTCCCAAACGGGTCTAGATGTGGAGAATCTTTGCCTCGATGCAAGGTCGCCAAAACCAGCACTCAAATCAAGACATCATTTTGAGGGTCGGCAGCTGCGCTCAAACTGCAAAGGCTTTTTCCACACGGGGATGGATCGATCAAGGTGGCTATCTGTGGCAAACGCTCTGCGAAAAAGCAAAACACGTCCACGGGATTTCTCGGGAAATGATTCGCTGGGAAAATGTCAGACGTCGTCACCGACAAAGCCAAAAAAATGCACTGAGAAGCTCACAAACATTACAAGACATGACAGGAAAAAAATAGGGAAATCATCCCCTTCCCATCACAAGCATGTCATCACCAATGATGACTGATACCAAGCCATGCAAGGTAAGAAACACCAGGATTGGTGTCTGAAATCGATCATCTGTGGATGCACATCACCAAAGTCGCAGCTGGTTTTTCCTGGACTCTCCTGACGGATTCTACTCATCTTCGATCACTGTAAGAGCTGCCATAGCCAGACTGGCCCTTGCGCCGGCGCCGCTCAACAAATTCCTTGAAGCCCAAGTGATGCGCCTCTACCATGGATCTGAATAGCTCAAAGCGTTCTGTCCAATGGTAATGAGTCAGGCCATTGGGAGCTTCTGGTCTTTCTCTGGAATCTGGGCCCATTGGAGATACCTCGAAAACGGCAAAAAAAAAGGCTCGAAACACACATTTCGAGACACCACAGTCTAAAATTTAGAGACATGTTGCAGCAAAAACACTAAACAAATCCAAACTTTGTACAATATCACACAATTATCACAGAATTCCGCTTTGAACAAATGACTTTGGGATGGCAATCTCTTCTGGATGCGCCGGATGCGCACGCTTGGACGGCCTTGACCTGAAAAGCTGTGCTTTTGCATTTGATGAAGCTTGGAGCTGGGGTCAGTTCTGAAATGAAGCACTGGCTCTTCCACTCTACCAATCTCTATATTAAGCTGCGGAAAATGGCTGAAGCCAAATCTGTCAAAGTGGAATGTGCTAGTCAATCCGCACGGACTAGATTTTCTCTACGCAAGCTCCGCCAGCGGAGCAAAAGAAAGCACGAACACGACCCCTAAAAACAGTTTCAATGCAAAAACTATCAAAAACTGATAGCCACAACCCGCCCGCGCCAAAGGTGCTGAGGTGCTTTTTTCTGTGCACGCATTAAACGATTGCAATACACCCAGTCGGGAAAGTCAGTGCACCGTCTGTTCGAAAACAAATCACAATGGGACGCTCCGCATTCAGGAAGTCACAGAAGTCAGTGCAAAATTATGCAAATCAGCATGGGACGCTGTGCGCCAGCAATCATCTATTTGGTTTAATGTTCGGTGTTTTTATGGCTCTAAAATTAGGAATCATATTGTGGACGCTGCATCTATGCAGTCATTGTTTTAGGCTATTTTGAATGATTCTGTTGAAAAACGCAATGGGACGCAAGTTTCACCACAACTACAGTAACTACAGTCAAAGTGAAGCGACCAACCAAAGATACAGGTGCAACCCCTTGTGGCGCGCGCAGCTCGGTAGTGGGAAGGTAAGCAGCAGCAACAGCAGCAGCAGGACCAGCAGAACCAGCAGCAGTAGCTTCAGTAGCAGCAGCAGCGACAAGACAAGACAAGACAACTCACGAACGCATTTCCGGCGATACTCTGGCGATACCCCGGCGATACCCTAAAATGGAAAAAAATGGAAAAAAGGAACCCCTCGCCACCAATCCCCCTCATTTCAACACAACCACATCTCCAAATTTCAAAAGGGGAAAACCCAACACAATCCAATCCCCAATGGAACTGACACATTAGGGAAATTCCGAACCTACAAGAACGCAGGTAAAAATATCAATGTTCCAAAACATGTCTTCCCAAACACCACCTGGACGCAGCACGCGTGGCACGCACCGACTTCCAGAAATCTTTCCCCAACTAAACGCAACAATTCAAGTGAACGCATTGGGTTTCCAAATGGGGTGTAGCTATTAAGCTTGAGTGGCGGGGGGGCTATTTTTGTTCTAGAATCCTGTGTTTTCCACGGTTTCAAAATGTCGTAAAATCGGCTAAGTTGCCAAGCCTGGGCTCAACATGGCCCAACATAGGCCCAAGATAGGCCCAACATAGGCCCAAGATAAGCCCAACATTGGCCCAAGATGGTCCAACATGCCTCAACATGGGCCCAACATACTCCCAACATGCGCCCTGCAAAGGCCCAACATAGAACATATGGTTAGGAAAAGCAGCCAGGCTTTTTTCAACCTTGCAACCCAGATCTTGTTTGGATCTTGCAAACTAGTTCCACGAATGCCTTCTACCAGTTCGGCATGAAAATTCTGCTGTGCTGCTTTCTCATTGTCGGACAAGACAAGGCTCTTGCGCTTGCTGGTGACTGGGGGAAAGACACTGTACGACACGTACGTTGTTCAATGCTGCACTTCAGGTTGTTCTATGTGATTCCCAGCCCAACATTTCCAGCCAAAACTGCCAATTGCTTGATGAACACACCCAATGCAAAGAACCCCTCAGAGAATGAAGCAAAAAACTGAAGGACCAAGAATACTAAAGACATCGAGAACCTGATTTGAAGATATTTCAAGAACACTCACAAACAGTAGACCAAAACAAAGTCATCGCGAACCAAACGAATCCAGAAGGGCAGGAAACCCATGGAAAGCCCATTCAGAATCAGTTATACTGTAATTTTTTTTTTCAAAACTGCCTATGCCATTCATCTGCAAATACCTGCCGACACACCTGGGACTAACAAAATGTGGCTTCTCGACACACCTGGGAATTCCACCGCCACTGGGTCATGCGGTAAAGGCTGCTGCGAGTCGTCAATGAGTGCATTGGTATTCCACGCTGATCTGCTGAGGATTGCTGTTAGAAAAAACTGTTAGTCGCAGGACAAACGTCACAGTGTCACAGCCTTCTTGACCTGCTAAGTCCTAAGTCATCTAAGTCTCCAACTAGCTCATGCCATGGATAAAGAATCATAAGCAAACACTGTTCTCCAACACGCGCTACTACACCCCCCGAATTTAAGGGCGACGTGCCTGGATGACCTGAGCAGATTGCACCGTAGACGACGGCGGCCGTCCACCTTTCGTCGCGGCAGAGGTGGGCCATCCACACAGCATAACGGTCGGCCGTCGCAGGAGCGTCCAAGGAGTGTCCGCTCCGCTTGAGCCTAGAAGCGAGGCCGCATGAGGCAAGCGAGGCCGGATGAGGCCGCTAAAAATGTCCTGAAAGGCAGATGCTTTTCACATTTTTCACAGGACCCCTATGACATTCACCCTGTAGGTTGTGAGATATTCACCAAATCACCGTCCGAGCACTTCTGGTGTCTGTTGAGTTTGATTCGAAAAAAACCACTTCTGCATCCTGTCATGCAGAGGCGCGCATCAGGTAGATGGTCTTGCGAAAGCAGGTCCAACCCCAGCACAGATGTGAAGGACAGAAACGCCAACCTCCAGCGAAGTTTTTCGGGTGCCAGTGTCCCAAGTCCAGTCCCAGAGAGTCAAGGTGTTGGACAAAGATAGACAAAAAGCTTGGCATGGTTGTGTTTCATGTTTCCACCGGATAAACATGGATGAACGATGATGAACCGCTAGACCTCTGCCAGCAACAGGCCAGGCTTTTCTTACGTATGGTTTTTCCAAGCCAATTCGGGATCGTCCCGCAGGGGTTTTATTCTTCCGGCCACCATGTGCGAGACAACTAATTTGCAGCCAGCAACAGAAGGCAGGCCACACGAGAAAATTCACCATCCATCTGCATCAATAAGACCACGGCTGCAGGTAACAAACATCGCCGCAAGAGTTGCAGTGCCACATGAAATTTCCCTGACCTCGGAGCAAAAAATCGCAAGTTCCACATCGACTTCAATGGTCCCTTCCAACTATTGCTATCAAAGCAGCCATTGGATAGCTAAGGTTGTGATAATGCACAGAAAACACCGACTCGAGAAGCAAAATCTTCCCGGAAGACAGGTTTACTGAAACATTCCAGATTTTGCAGTTTCGTCCAGACATGGTTGTGATATCTTTGGCATACGTACTTCATCTGTGGTGATTCCGTCACTGTAAAAAATGGATGGCTACTCTACCAGAGCTATTACTCTACTTTGCAGAGCTATTCTTCCATCACAGGTCACAACACAGGAATGACTTAAAAAAGCTCCCATCCGATGGCCCATTTTTTAACTTCCCATCCAGAATCCCACCCGAAACTTCCCATCCGATACTTCCCGAGATTTGTTGGATCCAGATCTGCAAACCAGAGGCTTTAAACAGTTTTGATCTGAAGACATCGCATGAGGCATCGACATGACCACCAACCAAGCAATAGTGATGCCTGTCGCTATGTAGAAGCATAGCTCCATCTGCAGGACTGGTTCCAGGTACGTCAATGAGGACAATAGCGCTGCATCCGCAAAGATGGAAAGGAGCACCAAAACATTCATGCCTACAGGGACATGATGCCCCCAAGATAGCTAAGTTGGTTTAGACTCGCCCCAGTAACTATAGTTATAAGTACCATAAACCATAGTGACATTGGAGTTATGTTCACCAACTTAGCTATCTTGGGGGCCTCACATTGTACAGGGACATTCGTGGTGGATTTTGACCACCAATAGTTTTCGCCCATCACATTGCTGTATCCCGTGCTGTGCAGGCTGCAACCAACCGAGAAGACTCGTGAACAAGAATGGTAATGATTGCAAGATATTGCAAGGGCACTGGCTCCCACTAGATCTATCCAGTAGGTCCAATTAAACCTGATTAAACCCTATTAAATCTCCATTAGAAATAATCTATCAGTCCAGTGCCTGCCGTTGTCTTGGAAAAGAAGTTCTGCGCAACTTCGCCAAAATGGTCAACACTGTAGAAATGGATCAAATGTTCATCAAAATCTGAGGCACTCCCTCGATATCTTCCAAAACCCGCGCCCAAAACTGGTTGGTGGTATACCTACCCCTCTGAAAAATATGAGTTCGTCAGTTGGGATGATTATTCCCAATATATGGAAAAATAAAAAATGTTCCAAACCACCAACCAGAAAATGTTGAGCCAAAATGAGCCAACAGCCAAACCCCAGCAGAAAACTTGACCAGTTTCCAGGCACCTGAAACTCGCATTGTTTTCAAGTGTGCAGGTACACCACCACTCCCCGAACCCTTTTTCACCTGGCAGGTGAAAAAAAAAACTTCTTTTCAAATGGACTCTCCGACAAACCTGAGGCTTGCGAAAAGAAGTGTTCTAGCAGAAGAAAATCACAACCTTCCAGGATTCTACCGTATTCTACCTTTTTGATCCTTTTTGGAGCTTCTCAGACCTTTCACACACTGAAACTGCACAATGCCAGTACCAATTGGATTTTGGCATCCTGCCAAGTCACGAGGGCGATGAGAAAAAACATGGCCACCACCACTGCGAAGGTCCACAATGCGTACGAAGCCGAAGGTAGAAGGAAAGGCAAGAAACACAAAGCTAACCACAGCACAATACGCATCCAAATCGGCCTGGGGCATCAATCCCCTGATTGCGGATCGCCAACTCGTTGGGAACACCATTTGAGTGAAAACATCATTTTAGTGAAACGAAAACAAATACAGCAGGGCCTTACCAAAAAAGTAAGGCACCTGTTTGCAAGTATGTCCTGTCTGTCTCACAAATTTGTAAATAGTGATACAGTACACTGATCCTTGGTTTCATGACATGTGCTGAAGCATCCTTTTTAGCTTACCTGTATGTGTCACATCTCCTCCCCATGTGCATGCCTTTGGGCACCAGCTTGCTATCTGGATCTAGTTCTATGATGTTATTTTTAATGCCAAACGGAGCGAATCATCGCAGATCATCTAGGAACAGCTTGCGAATCATCGGTCGAGTGGCAGCAGGGTTAGGCCCCACGCAGGCAGCAACACAGCGAAGATGCTCGCATACACAAGCCTCGGACACGACACGAGTCATAGCGCTGATTCCATGGTGATTTTAATGATGTCATGGCGCGTCTCGAAGTTTTAAAAAACTCCGGAGTTGTGTGGAAACAACGCCTTGATCTGACCAGAATTCCTGTCCTCATCACCCCGGCCACCTGGGAGTCACAAAAATTACAGCTTCGGAACGTCTTGTAGCTGTCCCAGAAAGTCAAGAGGATAAACAGCTCTCCAATGCCTCAGGAAGGCATTGGCTCCCATCTAGCATCAGCACTTTGGGGTGCAGCTTTCATCACTATATCGGTATATGTAACTCTGGTTGTAAAAATCCATAAGTTGGGATAGAACCTTATATATATATGATATACAATGTTGTGCCTGGAGTTAAGATGGACTTAGGGGCTTTATAAATGGACTTAGGGAAGTTAAGTTGTAGTTATGTTAAGTTTGGTTATAGGTTTTGTAAGTTAAGTTATATCTTGTGTGTTTTTTGCGCTAATTTTTGTAGTGTAATCCGCAATTTGTCATGTGATTCTGGCAGGTTCCGTTTTTCGCGTTGCATGTAATTCCTTAGCTTTTGATCTCGACATGTGAAGAGTTTCTGGCAAAAACAGCGGTTTGGATGAGCTTGAGCGAGAAAAACAGCTATGGATTTCAGTCTTGAGGAAACACAAAAAACACATTTTTCACACATACGCGTTTCCAAGCACGATGGTGATGAGAGCTGGAAACACAACCGCGTTCCCTTGCCATTTTGGTGTTTTCATGAGTATACACATGCGCGTTCCCATGTTTTTGTGGAAGCACATCCCGAATGTCGAGATTTTTGAGCACCATGTGTGCAGATGTGGAAACACATGTTTAACGCATACATGTTTACAATCACTTTTTTGGTCTTTGTGTGGGAACACATACGAATTTACTTGTTCTGAAAGTATAAGACCTAGAAACACATGCGCAAAACCGTTGTGTTCTTCTCTAAACAACAGGAAACACATGCGCAAAATCCACGCCAACCTTCAAAAATTCCACCAGAAACCCACCACAAATCCACCAGAGCCCCATTAACCTCAACTGCACCCAGTATTTTCCCCGCCAGGCGGCTGTTGAGGGCATCCTTGGTTGCATCCCATGCCTCTCTCCTTAAATCCTCGAGGCTTTCGCAATGAAGGAACGCTGTCCGCAGGAACCTGTCCGCGTTCCAAAAATCCACGGATGTGCTGATGTCATGAGCCAACAACAAAGCCATTACCATCTGGTTATGACTAACAGATTCACAGTTCGCCATTGAAAATCACCATGCTATCAATAGGTAAACCATCTATTTCTATGGACCATCTATACCATGGCTATGTTAGTCATAACCAGAGGGTAGAAAACTGACATGGAAATTCTGTGGGCTTCTAGATTTCGAACTTGCTGGAAAAACACAGCTCTTTGGATGGCAGAATTTAACTTTGACCAGACCCAAGTAATCTCCTTCGAATCTAGAGATGAATATCGTGGATCAAACAGCATAACGGACGCCACTTAAGAGATTTTCGGATAACTTCGAAAGTGGCACTTTTTTTTTTCATGGCCAAATCAAGACTTTGGAATCAATCGGCCCCGCTCTCTTATAGGTGTTCTTCCTTCAAAATGTTCAAACAATGTTCAAACTGTCTGTCAGTCACAAAAACGGCACCAATCAGGTATAATGTCAACCCCGGATTAATAAACCATGGTTTATTAATTAGGGGGGTACCCCTCCAATAGTCATAATCCAATACTTAAATGGTACCTTCCCAATTAAACAGGCGTTTGGGGTTTATTAATCCAGGGTTGACATTACAGAGTATATACACATCCAAAAAAGCCCAACAACAAGTCCAGCATGTCCAGCCAATTGCATCCAATTGCAGCATGATGTCTCAATGGACGACTTCGACTTGATCCTGAATTTAACTTACCCTCTGGTAATGACTGTTACAGTTTGCTATTGAAGCCATGGCCCAGTCGATTTATAGTGGATGAATCCCCATTAATAGCATAGTGATGTTCCATCGTTTTTTGGTAAACGTTTACCAGGCCGGGTATGTTTTTGCAAAACAGGTGGCTTTGTCAATGGCCCATGGGGCCCATCTTCAAAAGTGTGTCTTCCATGTGGGGAAAAAAAAAGGTGCCGGCGATGATTCGCCATGAAATTTGCTGGTGATGTTTGCCCCGGCCCCAAAATTTTCACCAAAATTCTGGAGATATTTGTTTGCTCAGTGACTCCAGGGCGCGAACCAATGTGACGATGGCTAAGAGACTTGCCTCGGGAACGTAAGCGAAAAACCTCTGGTAGGGAAGAGTTGGCCCAGCTGGATGCTGAAAATTTAGAAGGAATCATTTTAGCATGATTTCCCGGGTAGGGTAGTGCTGTCACTTAGGTTTCCTCCTCTCAAGTTTACAAGGCTCAACAGCTTCGTACTGAATGTGATGCAGCTTGGCCGCTAAAATCGCCGTGAAGAGCATCCACAAATCCCACATAAAGAGTCTCACCTGAAAACGAGAACACACGTGACACGAAGACGGCAACATTCTCTGGTTGGTGGCTGAGCTCGCCCTACCCCTCTGAAAAATGATGGAATTAGTGAGTGAAAGTCAGTTGGGATGATGAAATTCCCAACTGTTTCTGGAAAGTCATTCAAAATTCCATGGTTCCAGTCACCACCAACCAGTTCTTGTCTTGAAGAAATTCTGCAGCTACCCTTCGGTAATCCAGCGTAGGCAGGATTTTTAGTGTCCGAACTAACTCGACGAGGAATTTTCAAGCTGGGAAACTCATCGAACTCACTACCCTCTGGTAATTTAACATAGCTATTGAAAATCACCATTTATAGTGAGTTTTCCCATTAAAAATGGTGATTATGAAAAAAATTGTTACCCTCTGGTAAACGTTTACAAAAAACTATGGAAAATCACCATTTTTAATGGGTCAATCAACTATAAATGAGCCATTTTTCAATAGCAAACTGTTAGTTTACCGGAGCGTATATCTTTCTGTGCCATGGTCTATGTCAAGGGCGAGGGGCTCACTTTGGGCATAAATTCGGGCTCACTTTGGGCATAAATTTTCGAGGCTCACTTTGGGCATAAAATGGGCTCACTTTGGGCATATCTGGCTCACTTTGGGCATATCTGGGCTCACTTTGGGCATATCTGGGCTCACTTCAGGCATATCCGGGCTCACTTCAGGCATAAATGGACTCACTTTCAGCAAAAAAAGGGCTCGACACCTTTAGGGTTTCTATGTTGTTGCACTTCATCTAAGAAGAGCCACGACACCTTTAAGGTTTTTATGTTGTTGCACTTAATCTTAGAAGAGCCACGACATCTTTAGGGTTTATATGTTGTTGCACTCAATGTAATAAGAGCCACGACACCTTTAGGGTTTATATGTTGTTGCACTTAATGTAAGAAGGGCCACGACACCTTTAGGGTTTATATGTTGTTGCACTTAATCTAAGAAGAGCCACGACACCTTTAGGGTGTATATGTTGTTGCACTTAATGTAAGAAGGGCCACGACACCTTTAGGGTTTACATGTTGTTGCACTTAATCTAAGAAGGGCCACGACACCTTTAGGGTTTTTATGTTGTTGCACTTAATCTTAGAAGAGCCACGACATCTTTAGGGTTTATATGTTGTTGCACTCAATGTAAGAAGAGCCACGACACCTTTAGGGTTTATATGTTGTTGCACTTAATGTAAGAAGGGCCACGACACCTTTAGGGTTTATATGTTGTTGCACTTAATGTAAGAAGGGCCACGACCCCTTTAGGGTTTATATGTTGTTGCACTTAATGTAAGAAGGGCCACGACACCTTTAGGGTGTATATGTTGTTGCACTTAATGTAAGAAGGGCCACGACCCCTTTAGGGTGTATATGTTGTTGCACTTAATGTAAGAAGGGCCACGACACCTTTAGGGTTTATATGTTGTTGCACTTAATCTAAGAAGGGCCACGACAGCTTTAGGGTTTATACGTTGCTGCACTTAAGCTAAGAAGGGCCACGACCCCTTTAGGGTTTATAGGTTGTTGCACTTAATCTAAGACGGGCCACGACATCTTTAGGGTTTATATGTTGTTGCACTCCATGTAAGAAGAGCCACGACACCTTTAGGGTTTTTAAGTTGTCGCATTTAATCTTAGAAGGGCCACGACACCTTTAGGGTGTATATGTTGTTGCACTTAATCTTAGAAGGGCCACGACACCTTTAGGGTGTATATGTTGTTGCACTTAATGTGAGAAGGGCCACGACACCTTTAGGGTTTTTATGTTGTTGCACTTAATCTAAGAAGAGCCACGACCCCTTTAGGGTTTATATGTTGTTGCACTTAATCTAAGAAGGGCCACGACACCTTTAGGGTTTATATGTTGTTGCACTTAATCTAAGAAGAGCCACGACCCCTTTAGGGTGTATATGTTGTTGCACTTAATGTAAGAAGGGCCACGACACCTTTAGGGTTTATATGTTGTTGCACTTAATCTAAGAAGAGCCACGACCCCTTTAGGGTGTATATGTTGTTGCACTTAATGTAAGAAGGGCCACGACCCCTTTAGGGTTTATAGGTTGTTGCACTTAATCTAAGAAGGGCCACGACACCTTTATGGTTTATACGTTGTTGCACTTAATCTAAGAAGAGCCACGACACCTTTAGGGTTTATATCTTGTTGCACTCAATGTAAGAAGAGCCCCGACACCTTTAGGGTTTATATGTTGTTGCACTTAATCTTAGAAGAGGCCACGACCCCTTTAGGGTTTATATGTTGTTGCAGTTGATGTAAGAAGAGGACATGGGGTGGGTTGAGGGGACATGGGGTTACGGGGCTGGGACATAGGGTGGGTTTAGGGGAGCAGCATCCTGGAATGAGACCTGGGACATGGGGTGGGTTTAGGGGAGCAGCATCCTGGAATGAGACCTTTAGAATAACACTTGGGGACTCGGGGCTGGGACATGCGGTCTGATTCAACAAGAAATGCATGCTCAGCAAACAGGAAATGCATGCTCAGCCTGTGATTCAATGACAATGCACATGCACATGCACAAGCCTCTTGAGGTCATGTTCACATACATCGATATATCTTGTTTTTCTTTACTTCTAAGTAACTTGCAAGACGTTCCTGATACGTTGTTAACTCTTCTTGCAGTGATTTGTCAGATGTTCCTGATACGTTGACACACCTTCTTCAAGTGACTTGCAACACCTTCCTTAGACGTTGTAAAAATCTTCTGCAAGTACCTTGCAAGACGGTCCTGGTACGTTAACACTTATCACATCTTGTTCAAGTAAATTGAATGATGTTCCTGGTATGTTGTAACCTCTTCGTCAAATAACTTGGCAGACGTTCCTGATACGTTGCAACACCTTCCTACTTGTCAGTAACTTGCAAGACGTTCCTGATACGTTGTAAGCTCTTATTCGAGTGACTTGCCAGATGTTCCTCATATGTTGTAACATGTTCTTCAAGTGACTTGCAACACGTTCCTGGCACGTTGTCACATCTTCTTCAAGTCAATTGCAAAGTGATCCTGCTACGTTCTAACATGTTCGTCAAGTCACTTGAAATACGTTCCTGATACGTTGTAACGTCTTCTTCGGCATATGATTCAATGATACTGTCCTGATGATCATCTCTGTCACACATGTACAAGCCTTTTGAAGACATGTTCAAATACATCGATCTATGTTTCTATTGATACTGTAGCCATATATGAAAAACGTAGTCCTATGCGAGAAAACACGCACGCCTAAGCGAGCGACTGACCTTTATGTGTAGTTGCATTTCATGTGCGCCGTATTAAGTGAACGAAACATAACATCCGGGCACCCAAGCAGACCCAGCTGCGTTGCATTTACATGCGCCTTATATCCGCTCAAGTAATCAGACACGAGGAGCAAGGTTACTTTTAGATACGCCAGAAAGAAACGTTAAGGCATCACAGCATGAATTGAACGAGACGCTATATGCTGACTTGCCCTTTGGCATCTGGTATTACTTGCTCGCTCTTGGGCTGCGCCTGCCACAGTGCCTATGGAACAACTTTAAGCCCGAAGCGAGACCAAATTTACGCCTGGAGCGAGACCAAATTTACGCCCGAAGCGAGCCAAAATTTACGCCCGAAGCGAACCCCCGCCCTATGTCAAGCTAGTTGAGCCATAAAAAAATACTACTTGCTTGATAGCTTTCCCATGTTTTCCCTACTATGGCTTTAAAAAAAAACTTTGAATAACCCCCAATAAGCCAGTATAATTACCTATAACCATCTATAACCCATCAACCTTACCCTCTGGTAAACTAACATAGCTATTGAAAATGGCCCAGTCGAAATAGTTGATTTATGAGCCATAAAAAATGGTGGATCTTTCCATAGTTATGCTATTTTACCCATAAGTTATTTTCTTGCTCAGTTGGCAGTGGCCTGACAGCCCAGCACGATCCTCATCCGCTGCACGAAATCTGCTTGTCGTTCCTGGCGTAGACCTTCAACAACGGCGGGCAAGCGGTAGACGGAGATCAGCAGCAGGAAGCCCAGCAGCAAAGTTCCATAGTCCTGCACTTGTCTTCGATGGGTTCAACAATGATACCAGGATACCCAAAGAGACCACAACTTCGGGAAATGATAGTCTGGTTGGTGGTTGAGCCCTACCCCTCTGAAAAATGATGGAGTGAAAGTCAGTTGGGATGATGACATTCCCAACTGTTTCTGGAAAGTCATAAAATTCATGTTCCAAACCACCAACCAGTAATCATAATTCATGAAGTTTCATGAAGTTTTGGAGGTACACAGACGACTTGTAAAGGTTGCGGTACAAAACGTAGATACCGGAGATCGGTTTTCATAAGGACCGGTACGTTTGTGACCAACAAGAATTACCCGGGATCAGCAGTGAGAACCCAACAGGATCCACAGGTCTCCTTCAAAACTTCACAAGCAAAGATCTGCACCAATCGCCTCTCATGTGAAAAACGCCCAAAACAATGGGTTCCGAAGAAATCGCTCACTTCATAGGGAACCCAAGGAGGTAGCCCTAAAAAATAGATTCCCGCACCCATCGTGTCGAGAGTTTCCAGTGGAAACAGTGGTCTAGTCATTTCCACTGATCTTTTCTGATGGGAAACTGATGTTTCAACTAGATTCTTGTTGAAACACCATCCCAGACTCTGTGCAAAAGCTTCACTCGGCTGCCTATGTTCGGACAACGGCTTTCGACATGCACTGCTCAGAAGACCGGCATCGTTGGGGCTGTGGAATTCAACGCTGGCAGCCTGGGATCTCAGTTGGCTGCAAAAAAGAACTGCTCAAAATACAAACAAACCAATCATGTTTCTGATCTGTGATTGTTTCTTGTGATTTGTTAGTTTGCTTTTGTTTACCTGTCTTCTAGTGTTCTGATTATGTTCTTCTTTTGTTTGCTTAATATGTTTGTTGCATTGGTGGGGGGGGGCACGTTTTGCGTTTTTTGAGCCTCCGCCTTCCTCCCCGCCACCTGTTTCCCCAACCCAATTGTTTTTGTTAGCTTTTTTTCTGATGTGTCTTTTCTACTATTGTTTATTTGTTTGAAAGTTGCTGTGCTGTTATGTTTTAATTGATGTATATTAACTATTAACTGTATATTGATTGTCTGCTCTGTGTGTGCCTTTTGGACTCACAATTAAAGTGTTGAAAGTTTTGAAAAGGCATCAACGAGCTCTTTTCAACTTCCAGATGGAAACGCATCTTGACCAGTTTCAAATGCTAATGATATTAAACACCCCCACAGATAAGTACTATGGTTTAGGTGGTTCTAAGCGCTGCTTGGGTTTTTTTTTCCGGCACCAGGTGATGTCCGATGTGACACAGCGTCATTTTCTGCAGAACCGCGCCTGCACTTCTGCTGCCAAGGTCAATAACAAGTCGTCAGCGCGGCTTTGAGCACTGGCGATCTTTTCCAAAGACAGCGCCTCAGATTCGCAAAAAAGTCAGACTCGATGCTTAGCTGCCATGGTTGGTCTGTTACTGGATGCTCTGGTATTTCCTATAGTTGTATCTAAAAATATGTGAATCTGGAAAAAAATGGAATCAGTTGATATCAGTTGTATTGATAAAATAAACGGTTCTGCATCAGTCTGATTCCAATCCCATCCTGTCTGGCCAGTCCGTTGCATCGTGAAAAATTCCACCTGGTCGTAGCTCATCTACGTACTTCACACGTGCTTAAGTTGCAACAGGGGACATTGCAAAAAAAATGGCGGAAGATAAGCACTATAAACATGGATGTTTGGATAATTGCATATCTGTGCAAACATTTATACTTTACATTCTTGGACACATATTTTATAGAAAGTCTTGGTGTGGCACAAACCCAAAGCAAACGCTCGTCATGGAGACTAAAGGGTAAGATACTCAGGATTTCGACTCCGTAAAGACATGGAAATACCATAAATGGGGTTTCCATAAATGGTGGTACCCCCAAATCATCCATTTAAGATGGGGATTTTCCATTAAAAAAAAACTATCATTTTTGGGGTAACCCCATATATGGAAACACCCATTTGTAAAATGTTGTAAACCCCTTTTCAGGTAATGATGGCTCTTCATGGTTTTCTCCGGTGCCAAACGAATCATTTCAAGCTCGGGGCGAAAGGATCGGAGGCCCCACATATTTGTGTTGGTAAAAAAAATGATGTTCCGATGTTCCCAGCTTTTTTTGCCCCAAATGGCAACTTTGAGCATTCTTGAGCTATCCCCCCATTAATACGCACAAATCCTTCTTCATGCGGTCTCCCTCTCAAATTTGGAACTCCAAATCTGATTCATCGTTTTGGGCCAGTTTCTGCAACAGCTGCCAAAGGTCGTGTTTTTTTTTGACAAGGGGCATGCTCCTGTGGGTTGAAGGACTTCTTGAGCAATAGTAGGTTTGCACCCAGTGTCAAGCCAGGCCAGTAACTGGACACAGCGTTCTGCAAGAAGGAGTAATTTTTCCTGGCCAAGCGGGCCAGGAAAAGGCCATGATTCCGATGGACGGATCTGATTGACGTCGCTTTCGGAAAGGCAAAAAACGTCTTTGGGTCACTCTGGATCGCTGAGAAATGAGTCCACTTCTTGGACATGCCGGATCCCCAAAAAAAACATGGAAAAAAAGGGAATCATATATATATATATCATATATATATATATACATATATATATATATCAGTAATATATCATATATATATACATATATATATATATATATATATCAGTAATATATGATATATATATATATCATATATATATATTATGTATATATGATCCAAAAATTTCCGCATCAGCCAGGTCTCACTTTCTCCACAAAAGCCATAGCCACTTCATCGTTTGAGGCTTGTAGCTCTGACAGCAGTCCCATCTCACCGTTTTTGCCCGGCATGGGCAGCCGGCCAAGCAGCTTGGCGGCCACCTCTCGAAGCTTTTCCGAAGTCCTGCTGATGACGTGGATGAAACGAGGCCTTCATTTTTTGGACTTTAAGAGCTTGCCTTCTTGGCCTGGAAAAAAAGGAGATAGTACACTAGTGCACACCTAGAATTATTCATGTATTTATGTGTGTATATATGTTTGTGTATATATATATACACATCCTCCATTAGTTGGTGACCTCATTTTCGGTTGAGAGAAAGTGTATGCATATCAAGCCAAATGTCCACGTACCACAATTGGTTGGCTGGAAATGGAGATAGGTCGAACCCTTACCCCCGTCTTCACCCTCCCAAGAAAGGCATTTACCATGTAGACCAATCCTTTTACACGTCTTGCCGGAACATGTTCCAAAAATGTTTGAATATGTACATATTATAATATATATAAGTATATATATATATGTATATGTATGTACATACATACATGTATACATGTATACATGTATATATATATGTATTCATATATACATAATATATATATACATAATAATATATATATACATATATATATACAGTACATATTATGTATAAACATATACATGAAAAATACCGCCTAATCGCAGCGAAATTCCCCCAGCTGATTTCGGTTCCAGATCCTGAAAGGTGGATCCTTAGCGGCAGCATTCAGCAACGGTTCCAGTTCTCGACGGTAGATTTTTAACATGGCCTGGCGAAAGGGGCACCACCCACGACATGGAAAAAACGATGTCTAGATCTGTATCTAAATTCAATTTAGTGTAGAATTCATCATCAATCATATACAATTCATTTTTTATGCCTTCGTCTTCGATTCAAGTCAAATGTTCTGGACTCCAGTCATCATCATCATCATCATCATCATCATCATCAGCAGCAGCAGCAGCAAGTTTACACTGCAAGTCACCAGCCTTAAATAGGAACGCATAATTTGCAAGTCTCGAAAATTGTATCTGCTTCTGCGCGAAAGAAATCGCAGGGTGGGAGGCCACAATACATACAATATCATACAATATCATACAATACACGCAAGACAGAAAGTCCGGAATTCTGCACGGCATGTTTTCCATCATCGAGATTGCAAAGTTCCCAAGAAACATGTCTTCCGACTTTCCCAGCCCCTCGGATCAACTCAGCCTCTTTCACAAGCAGCAAGCTTGACAGCTGACGTGCTAAGGTGCCACGCCACACCTTGGAAGACAGGTCTACGTCTACGAAGTGTTGCAGGAGACTAGGTTGAAGCATTTTTCAAAGCTAAACTTCATCAAATGGAGGCTTCCATAAATGGAGAACCCCCATCTAATAGCTGGATGATAATGTCATGGGGTACCCCTTGATCTACAGGGAACCCCATGTCATGGCACCTGCGAAGGGCGGCACGCAAAGTAGACGCACTGTAGTAAGCGCCATGGGGCCAGTGCTAGACATAGGAAGAGGAGCAAATGCGCCACGTCCAGGAGCAACTGCCAAAACTCGCCTGAGCTGACCATGGATGAGCTTTTGGATGGATCAATGGGATCCACCAAAACAAGCTCGCAAGCCACAAAAGAAAGCCATGGGGGTAGTTGGCTTAGAACTGTGGCTATATTATTATATATATATGCAACGGGATCCACCATAGTTGGCTTAGAACTTCTGTTTGCAAGCTGTTGTCAAGAAACCTCTTCGGAACTTGCCGTGACCACTGTGTGGCCTGAACATCTTGAAAATAATGCTACAAGGTGGTTCCCCATAGTTAGCTAAGTTGGTTTATAACTCCAATAACTATGGTTTATCGTAGATATATCAAAATTTACTATGGTTTATAAACCAACTTATAACTGGGGGGGGGCACAACCTTGTATATGAGGGGTTCCGAAAATGGTGGATCCCCAAGTCACTTTTTTGTTTTTGTCCAAAAAATGTGCCTCCAATATTGTCTAATGAGTTGGATAATTTGGGGTACCTTATTTTAGGAAAGCTCCATATGTGCCATGTTCAAGTTGCATGGTGTATGGTTTGCGGTCATGCCGCTGTTCTTCGAAACCAACCATCTTCCACACTCCTCAATTTTGCAGCGTGCCCCGTTAAATATGTCAAATGATTAGTTCATATTAGCTCCAACTGATTATCGAGGACTTCCTTCAACAAGTCGAGCCATTAACAAATTTAACAATACCAGTATTGAATGGTTATAGGGAATCATACTACTACGGTAGTACCTGGCTTATTAGGGATTATGGTAGCCTAACTATGAAAAAAGATATGAACCAACAGCTGAGATGGGAAACCGTTGGCCGGAGTGGCTGAAGGCACTTAGCCACATAGCGTTGCGAATCCCTGCGCCACTCAGCAAATCTCCACAGACACTTTCTGGAGAAACCGTCAGCAACTCCTGCGGCACAGTTTTTTCCGCGCCCATGTTTTGCACGGACGATGTTTAACACCGTCATCCACACTTGACAGGTCAAACACTCTAAGTTTTTGGCGAGAAAGTGCCATCAAACATATGAAACCCGTTGAAAGTGCATTAATAAACTGCCACTAAAACATATTAAAACCCCATAAAACTGATATAAACTGCCCATTCAAAATCTGCAAAAACTGCCGGTTTTTTTTCCACTGCACCTGTGGCACTTGCACCGTCTCTCCAGGTTGGTTCACCGCTTGCTGCAGCAGCCTGGCAGGGATAGGTAGCCGCGCCAAAACCTCCTCGCTTCCACGTGGCGATCGATGCTCCAGCTGAACGCAAAAGGTCAGAGATCCTGGCGGATTTTAAGGAATTTTAGGAAATTTAGGGACTTTTAAGGAGTTTTAGCGAACGGTTGGGAGTTTTAAAGACGTTTAGGGACTTTTAAAATTTAGGGAACTTTAGTTTTAAGGACTTTTTGAGAGTTTTAAGGACTTCTAGTGAATTTTAAAATTTAGGGAATTTTAGGGAATTTTAGGAAATTTAGGGAATGTTAGGGACTGTTAGGGACTTTTAGTGACTTTTAAGGAGTTTTAGAAACTTTATAGGAGTTTTAGCGACTTTTTGGGAGTTTTAAAGACTTTTAGGGAATTTAAAATTTAGGGAGTTTAGTGACTTTTAGGGACTTTTAGCGACTTCTTGAGAGTTTTTGGACTTTTAGGGAATTTTAAAATTTCAAGAATTGTACTAGTAGGGAATTTTAGGAAATTTAGGGACAGTTAGGGACTCGTAGTGACTTTTATGTTTGTCTGTCTATCTATCTATTTATCTATCTATCTATGTTTTCATTTTTTAGGTATTTCATGAATGGTGTGTTCGTATGGAAATTGAAATCTTTGCTATAATATCCCATGGTTGTAGCATGTTGGAGCTGGAACCTTCCATTTCGCATTTCATTTGAAGCATTTTGGAGCTGGAACTTGCATTTCGCACGTTATTTGCAGCGTTTTGGAGCTGGAACCCTCCACTTCGCATGTCACTTGCAACATTTTGGAGCTGTTGTTGGTTGTTGGTTTTTGGTTGTTTTTAGTTGGTTCTCAGTTGTTGTTAGTTGTTTGTTTGTTGTTGTAGTTCCTGTCGCAGCTGCTGCTGCTGCTGCTGCTGCTGCTGCTGCTGGTGGCGGTGGTGGTGGTACAGCCAGAGGAGTACGCCTACAACTGTTGATGTTGTCGTCTGTCTTCCGATGTGTGCTGTGTTGCGTTGCCGTTGTGGCTGTGGTTGTGGCCAACGCCAACAAACAAGCCAAGAAGCCAGAATGGCTTTGGAAAACCAAGAAGACACAAAGCTGTCGAAAGCACCAAGGCCAAAAAACAAACGCATTTGCCATATGGAATGCCAACCTTGATTGCGGAGCTAAACCTCTCATTTGGCGTGGCATTTGCAAGACTTGGAGGTAGAACCTTTCATGCCGCGTGGTACTTGCAGCATTTTGGACATGATACTTGCTGCATTGTGGAACTTCAACGTTCCATTTTACATAGTATATGCAGGATTGTGGAACGTCGACCTTCCATCTTGCACGGTATTTGCAATCTTGTGAAACTTCAACCTTCCAATTTAGCAAAAGACATCGTGGAATTTCAACCTTCTATTTAAGGGATATTTAAGGCACTGCGAAACCTTAATTTGTTAACCGGTTCAGTAACACTTTACTCAACCTTTTTGGGCCGTATAGTGTTTACACCAAAGCAAAGAAACAAAAAAAATGAGCACACGAAGCAACAAAATAAGAATAGCTGGATGGGGGCATAGGGGGACGGCGCAGCGCATTCGCCCAAGGAATGCAGAGACAACTTCGTTCTAGTTTTGGTCCTCTTTGCAGTTGCCGTTGTTATTGTGAATTTTGTTGCCCTTGTTGTTTTTGTTGTTCCTGTTGTTCTTGTTATTCTTCTTCTTGCTGTTCCTGTTGTTCTTGTTGTAGTTGTAGTTGTAGCTGTACCTGTAAGAAAGCAAAAGAACAGGGAAGCAAGCGGAAAAGAAAAAGAGCAGAGAAAGCAGAAAAACCAAACGAGCAGCGTGGCCAAAAAGCAAAAACAACAGAAAAGCAGAGAAGCAGAAAAGCAAAAAGAGAGAAGCAGAAAGCCGAAGAACAGAAAACAAAAGCCAAAACACAGATGCAGAAAAGCAGAAAAAGCAAAAAAAAAAAGAAAAACGAAAAGATGCAGAGAAGAAGAAAAGCAGTACTGTGGGGAAGGGGAAAGTTCGAAACAAAAATCTCGGAATCCCTAAACAAATGGCTCCCCATAGATCATTACAAACCAGAATCCCCTTAGGGACGAACCAACTTATAGGGAGGTTTCCAACAAGTCATAGGGGTATCCCCAGTCATCATCCATAGATTAGGATTTTCCATGAAATAAACCATCCACCCCCATTGTAGGAAACCTTCAAATATGATCAATCAAATTGAAGATGAACAGAGCATTGGGCTGTTGATTCCCAGTTTTGCATGGGATATATATATATATACGGGTAAATTATGATATTTCACTAACCTGAATGATTTCCCTTATTGACCATGATTCCAGGGTTCGAGGGAACAGTGAGGTCGTTAAAATTTACTCAGATATATATGTAACATACATACGTATGTATGGATGTTTCCGGACATGGTGGTACCCCTAAATCATCCATTTTAAGAGGATTTTCCATGAAATAAGCTACCAGCTATTGAGGATCCCCCATTTTGAAACGCCCCCATTTTTTCGAGATCTGACCCGTGGATCCCAGTTGACATGTTCTGGGCCTTCCAGCTGAAGCAGCTTCGATTTCAACTCTCGGCCGCCCAGACGCAATTCGATGCTGGCCTGGCGAAGGGATGGATTCCCACCCATTTTCGAAGAAATTTGAGCGTGATCCCGCCTGCTGGGGGTAAAAGTCGCTGTATTTCACATGTTTTCCATCCTGGAGAAAAAAAAAAGCGGAGAAGAGGCTCGACATTGGGACCAAACATGACCAAACCATGTTCAAAATGTCAAATCCTGCAACATCATCCAGCATCATCCAGCATCATCCAGCACCTCTTCTTACTTAGGCCATCCGGATAGGCTGGAAATCACTTCAAGGCCCTGTCGACACTGTCCTTCAAGGTGAATGGAAGCAGGGCTTTCCCCAAACTCGCCACCGATGCGCCAAACACGCGCGAGATCTCTTCCCAGAAGCTCTTTGAGACGACGTTAATGCGAATGGTTCCGATGTCCTTTCAAGGGGAAATACCCTCTGGTAAACTAACAGTTTGCTATTGAAAATGGTGATTTATAGTGGATTTACCCAGCTAGAAAATGGTGGATCTTTCCATAGTTTTTTGTAAACGTTTACCAGAGGGTACCCAGGTTTTCTCCAGGTTTTCTCCAGGTTTCTCCAAGAGCCCCAGCAATGTGTCAATCACAGGCGTTTTTTGTTCCTAGTTCTTTTGTCTCGGAAAATGCTATGTGGGGTTGCCACCCATGTGACTAGTCTGGTGATGGCAACTGTCCTGCAAATCTTGCCAAGGTCCATGTTTCGCATTCCCATTGATTCCCATGTCGCTTCAAAAGTCGTTTCACGTTTCTTTCAGGATTGGCTTGGACACGTTGGCACTATCAACATCTATCAACCATGATTCAATGTGCCCTTGTCTGGCCCACCTGAATTGACGTCGTCACGTCGTCAATTGTTTTTGAACAAGTTGCTGAGTATACAACACCTGCTTTCTCATGACGTCTTGCTTCCTCATGAGGTTTTATCAGACTCTGGAATACACAAAGCGGAATGACATTGGAAAAATGGAAATAAGCTGCACCGCTTAATACAAACTTTATGTCCTCCCAAGATTGTCAGCATCCCAAACAGATTCCATGGTGGACATGTTTGCGCGGCTCTCATGGCTTAATCACACACAGAGCAATAAACCACCGTATCGGTCCATGGGGCATAGAGAAACAAATTATCACGTATCATGGATTTATAGTACACTGGGAATACTTTTTGGTATCTGCCGGTCCCGGTTAATGATACGCTCCAACATCTTCTCTTCTACTTTCTCACATACCTGACGCTACGCCCTTACATCTTGTTTTCCACTTTCGCACGTACTTGATGCTACACTCTTCGACAACGATGACGACGACGACGACGACGACGACAACAACAACAACAACATCTTGTGGCATCGCCGGTGTGCGGAGCTCTACAATAAACAGCTCGATTGGCAAAGTCAACAGGAAATGGCCCAGCCCCTTCAGCACAGCATGGCCATAGCGATCTTTTTCGGGGACGTTTCGGGGGAAAACAAGGTAGTGATAGGGAATGTGGCTAATGTCAACCCTGGATTAATAAACCCCGTTTACGGCTGTTTAATTGGGGGGGTACCATTTAAGTATCAGATTATGGGCTATGCCTCAAACATGACGGTCCAAATCAACGAGCTGGCGTCCTTGAGGTCTCTCGCTTCAAGCTGTAGTCCTTCAGCCTGCACCGCGAGGCGCTGGTCGCCATCCCCGCCCGAGCGCAGTGACACTCCTTGCAGGGTGAAGCGCGGATCTCCAGTTGTTCGACCTGAGACGCGGATGTAATATATGTAATGATCTCAGTCTGTGGTGTCCCCAAGAAAAATGAAGAAAAGTACTGTTTTATGGTGCTGTTTTATGTATTTTTATGTGGGATCATGATGGAACCATCATGATCCCATGGATCGTTCTCAAATGATGTGTGTAATATTTACTGCTTGCCATGCTCCATGCCAGTCGTGTTCGCCCTCGATGCTGGACCTATGACGACTGACCCTGCCATCGTTGAATCAACTTGGCCCATTTTGGTCACCTGCATAGTAACTGGACGTAACTGGTGCAAATCACCCCGGTCGGCAATTCGCGGGTCACTTCAAGAGCCTAAAAAAAGGACCGTTTTCTTCGCAATGATCGTCCCCATGTCTGGACGCCTGAAATATAGCAGTGCGGGTCTTGGATCCAAGGCACGAGCACGTTGAGAATAGATGTCCAGAAGCACCTGACCATCGTTGAGTCAGGTGAACAGAGACATACTGAGACCATGGATTATTGGGAGACATTTTGACTTCGATGGACTGACATCATTCCCGAGCTTACCTGACGGCTGATCTAGACAAGCTATGACAAGCTGGTATGGTTTGCTGATTATCATGAAACCGGTTGTCACAGACCTTGCCATTTCGTTGTACCTTGCGTGCTTCAAAATTCAAAGAGCCACAAGTTAAGGTCATCTGTCTCTTTCGGGTGAGTTCGGGTCCCCATGAAAGCCAGCCTGCTTTCCATATCTTCTTAAAGCTGTGCCTATACAAAAAATCCAAGAAAACGTCCGGTGCACTACTAAAACTCCGGCCTCCTAGAGGACTCCCAAAAAGAACCTAGACACATCTAGACACGGACTTTTCTCCCAGGCACCTTCGGCATTCGTAGCAATGTGATACACACCACCAGCAGTGCCAAGAATCCCAGCACGTCTCGCAGCAATTCCAGGAATTGCAGGATCACCGCTTTCCGTCCTCAATCCACTGCGAAACTTATATTATGTATACATGTATTATATATATATACATATATATATATATATATCATATGTATATATATACACTGGTTGCTTCTCGCATGGATCCCAGCAATGGAAAGGTGGAAAGGTTGCGCAATGGAGGTGCCCAGTGACTCGATTGACTCGCTTTGCCCAATCACAAATTGAGGATGACTGGAGGTCTGGCTGCCGCAGTATTAGTACTACCAGCAAGAAAAACAATACGCCAACCATGCGAAAAAAGCAGCCCTGAAAATGCATGAAAGGTGTAAACACAGAGGTTGATCAACGGACACTTTCCGGTGTCCGACAGGAACGCAGTGCGTGGCGTGCTACACGCCACAAAATGCCGAGGGTCGTTGGCAGTTGTCTTCAGCGCTCCAGCATTGCTGCAAAACCAGATCTGCCCGCCAGAGGCTGAAGATCACAATCCTTAAAGATTTGGATGTGTTGGTTCAATATGTAACAGAAAACGTCGCAAACACTGGCGATGTTGAAAGTTTGACCAGCAAAAAAAACAGAACAAAAACAGGTTCGTTGAGTCAAATTGAGGAAAAGAGTTTAACATCCTTACATCATGCGTTTGGATTGCTGTAAAATGCACGTGCTCGTGCCAGAATTGAGACAAAAAATGTGTTGAGATATATTGTTTAAGAAACAAACAGGGACTTGGGCACTGCAAAGGTACAGAAGCAGTGGGAGCAGTGGAAGGTCCAGCAACAGGTTCCCAAGCTCCTTCGGACATCGGGAAGGAGCCGACGCTTTTCAGTATGCTCAAACAGTCTGGTTCGCTAAAAACAAATCGACTGTTTAAAAGTGGTAGAATCCCTTCAAGAATCAGGAAACTTACCCTCTGGTGATTTGTTACATAGCTATAGAAAATCACCATTTTTCGTAGGTCTATGGACCATGGCTTCCATAGCTATGTCAACCTTTACCAGAGAGTAGATGGAAATATATGATTCAATCATGTTGCATCACACTTTCATCTAAGCCATCCGAACTGCGTTTGGGCCCAAAAAACAGCCTAGAGAAGCCACAAGCGTTTCATGAAGCGAATCCTTGACTATATGTCTCTACCACTCGTGGATTTCGACGTAAGCAACTTGAAGTACTTGGAGGATCCTTCCACTTAGTAAATGGTCCCCAATCACTGGGCTATACCATGTTATACCATGTATAAATGGTGGTTACTGTATCCCAGTTACTCAGTTGCTGGGATCCTCCAAGTATCTCCCGATCAGGTCCTGCCAGAGTTTCAACCTGGTTTGGATTCCACAGAACGCTGTCGGAGCTTCGATCCCATCGGCAGCTTCAGGATCCGACTCCGCAACTGGAGGCAGTGGCACCACTGCAACCCAGCGGTTGCGCAAGAGTTGGTACACCTGCGCGGTAGCCAAGGCCGAAGATGCGTTCGGCTCATTGATTGAAATTGGCATCAACCTCGAAAACAATCAGCTTATACTGGTGGGTGGTTTCAAGCCCTCTGAAAAATATTACACGTTATTTCACGTTATTTGGGGGGCCACGAGGCTGCCGAACGACCTCGCGACCCGCTCTTTGTTCGGGCTCAGACCGTCTTTGCGGCAGTCAGAAGGGCCACATCTTTGGCAGTGGCCACTTGGCGCCGCAATTGGGCGAACACTATTGCGTCCACCTCGTCGACCTGTGGCTTTGTCCAACGCAATCGGTAGCATACCAACCACTTGGCCACCGAGGCCGAACATGGGCGTGCCACCTTTTGTGGTATGGTGACTTTGTTCCCTTTGAGGTATGATTTCCAAAGCAGCAAGAACCATTTGACGCGAGCACCCCATGTCAGATGCGCAGCAACTGGAGCGTCAGCTGCCACCGAGTACCATTTCTTCTTATGGCACCACGGTCCATCATAACCAGTGAAACTGCACCTGGCGGGGGCGCTAGAAAGAAAAACCATGGCCAAAGCTAAAACCGCCAAACAGTGAAACAACGACACAAAAAAAAACAAAACGTTTCATATGTACACCAAAGCATCAAAACAGATAAAACTGAGAACCCCGCTCCGCGACAAAGGCGACTTGACATAGGCTGTCTCCTGGCAATGGAAAAAAAAACACATATGGTTGCTGACAAGAAACTTCAATATATAAAGCAAAACTGCACCTGCACAAATACAGCATCCTAAAACACAAAACAACAACAAACAGCCTAAGTTGCAGACATACTTCAGGCCTTACAGCTTTTCTTTTGAAAGCTGCCTCCCAAAAGCGTAGAAACTTCTTTACTGGACATATACAAATATAAATATAAATTTATATGTATATATATTTGTAGACATACAGACAAATCAACACAAGTAAATACATGAGTAATAGATCTGAATAGACTGATTGATTGATTGATTGGTTGATTGATTGATTGATAGATACATAGATGGATAGACAGATAGATAGATAGATAGATAGATAGATAGATAGATAGATAGATACATAGATGGATAGACAGATAGATAGATAGATAGATAGATAGATAGATAGATTGATAGATAGATAGATAGGTAGGTAGATAGATTGATTGATTGATTGATAGATAGATGGATAGATAGATAGATAGATGGATTCATAGATAGATAGATTTAGATAGATAGATAGATAGATAGATAGATAGATAAATACATTGATAGATAGATAAATGCATTGATAGAGAGATAGATAGACAGGTCGAAAGATAAATAGATAAATAGTTAGTTTGATTGTTTGATTGATTGATTGCTAGAAGGATCACGACATGATTAACTAGAAAGTGAATGCTAGATACAAGCAACCACATCTGTAATATATCAATGCACATTCTCAGCAGAAGCCTGCCAAAGAAATCGCCGCTTCATCGCGGCAATGACAGCGCCTTCAAAAATGCTGAGCACACACAAACACATGCATACACACGCGCACACACACAAACAAACGAACGAACGAACGAACAAACAAACAAACAAACAAACATTTCCAAAATACGCTGCCGCCTGTTGCAACAAACCCTTACGGTGCGGCGGTGGCTCAAGGACCTCAGAAACAGATGGATGCCAAAAACAACACAATCAAAAGCCCAGCAAAAACAAAGCAACCCTCAAAAAAAAGCAAACAAACAACTGGGAACAGCACATCGTGAGATCTCACCTTGTTGGCCCACACCACGTCCTCGGCGGTCACCTCAAAGTCCTGAGCAGCAACAAGCAAGAAAAAAAGACCACTAAAAAAATGTTACAGCGACCAAAAGTATCAAACCGACCCCAAGCAAACAAAATATATAATGCCAGCAAGTAGCAACATGGCAAAGAAGATCCTCAACACCGACTGGGCCGGAAAGAGACTCCTGCGCCCAGTCGGTGTACCTCTTGGCCTTGTACCAGAGCTTTGCTGGTACATGCCAAGTGGAACTTCCATGTTGATCGACCCACCAGTCCTGCAACCAAGGAAAAATAACACACCAAAGCAAAAATTACTCGCAAACAATGCAAAGATGAAGAAATTTCTTATCATGAAAAACGAGCACCTGAGCAAGGTTCCAAAGATGAACCCCGGGCCGAAGAACAGCCAGGACACGGCGGTCACCTTCGCAAGGAAAAAGTATGGAAAAAAAGAACAGAACTGCAAGGCAAGGCCCCCGTACCAAAAAAAAAACACCCGCCTGCATTGGCCTGCGCCACCGCAAACCAAAATGCAACTTCAACGCTCTTAGACCACGAAAGCCAGGGCGAATCCTAAGCAAAACCAAGAGAGGGAGGAGAGAGGAGAAAAAAAAGCGACAAGAAACAGAATCACCAACACAACAAAACACAGCCTAAGAGCAAAGCCCGAGGGTTTAGCGCCACATGCTCCCAAACGTGCGTCGGACGGGCGCCCTTGGGTTTCACGCAGAAATCCAAGCACGCCGCGCCGCGAAACAGAGGACCTGAGTCAAGCAAAACAAGAAACAGAGGAAGGAGAAAAAAAAAAACGCACACACACAGAAAGCACACACGAAAAAAGCCAAACGAACAACAACAATCCAGCCTGGAGGATAGAGGCGACCAAAAGTACGCCCACCCGCAGGATAGGCACCAACCTTCCAAGACAACAAGATTTCACAACAATGCAACATGCTATGCGTTAAAGAAAAAAGCAAACTTCTTCAAGCTACAGCGACAACAACATATGTCTGTCCGCCCATAACCAGCCTCAGGAACAGCAACAGCCTCACACCACGTGGCCAAAAAAAAGACTGCAACAATAACGAAAAACAACAACGCAAAACAAAAAAATAAATTAAAAAACACAACAAGCAAGAGATCATGTCCCGCCTCAGAAGACATCTTCCTCGACCTGAGAAAACACACCGTACACTACACTTGCACATCAAGCACAAGATCGAAACAAAGAAACGCACATCAAAAAATACAATGTAAAACTTGACTGCTAGAACTTTAGAGGCAATCGACAACTGCTCGAGACACCAAAACATCAGAAGCAAACACGCGGAAAAAAAAAACACTCTGCTGAGGCCACTGCGAAATGCGGAGCAAAGAGAGATCCAAAAACACCCTTTCAAAGCGCTTGAAGAAACACACTGCGGATAAGCAACACACAATATTGCAAAACATCGCAAAATACCTAGAGGCTTTCATATAAGTTCCAAACAAACCAGACTCCAAAAATGTAAGCTTCCATAAATGTACCTTGAGTTGAGAGAAACTTAGGAGCTTTACGAAAGACCTTAGGGAAGCTAACGTAAAGTTATGTTAAGTTCTGTTATAGTTCAAGGGGTTGAAAGTCCAGCTTTATCTTTTGTACCTTCACACTGCACATTGTTGCAAGTCCAATCCTGAAAGATATGCTCATGAAGCTTTTTGACAAACAACACGTTACAAAAAAAAAAAAAAACGCACATCATCATATTGCTTCATTCGATTACTGATCCTAGCCAAGTCCAACAAGTCATGTTTGCTGAAATCGAATGACTAATCATCTTGGAGGTTGATGCTACATAGCAATAAGGAAAACATATATAAAGATACTGTGCTTTACCAGATGTTGCCACAATTAGAACAATTTTAACGTCACAATGAATGCATCCCTTAGATATTCTACAAGAATGAAGCACATCAACTGCTGCAAAGGGTCAGCAATTTTCTTTTTACCAGGTTGTTCATTCAAAATCGGCGCGCTCGAAGCTAACCTCAATGCGCATATCTACGCGCAAGATCGCAAATAGTGCAAAACAGAAAATTCACCTACATTCCATATGCAACAGATCGAAACTAGAATCCGAACCCGTTCAGTTTATGAAAAAAGGATACTCCACTGGCATTAAACTGCAAACCTTCCCTCCGAGGAGAAGACACTGCCACAGCCCCGGTCTCCTTGCTCGCTAACTGCACCTGGCACGACGCTACAAAGAAAGACCACGGCCAGAGCTAAAACCGTCAAACACTGAAACAACGACACAAAAAATTAAAGGACCGGATAACCCCACATGTTACCAACTTCTTTAGACTTAGACTGAGCAGAGAAAGCGAGAAGGGAAGAGGAAGTATGAGAGTGATGGAGGGACGATGGTGGTATGTATGTAGGTATGTATGTAGGTAGGTAGGTGAGTTTGTGTGTGTGTGTATGTATGTTCAAGTACAGTGAGTGA